CGGGTACTATTCACGTGAATAGTGGCTGCCCTAGCACAAAAAAAAAAATTGTGTTTCCAGCAATGCAAGGCTAGCCATGGCAAATACTATTCATTTTTTTGTTTTTTTCACAACTTTGTTTACTTAAACAATTAATTTGGATAATATTTTCGGATAAAAGTGAAGAGTATTGGTTGGTATTTATAGAAAAAAAAAATTCAGTATTTTTTCGTATTTTTTTAAATTTTTTCCTATTTTTTTTCATTTTTTTATTGGGCAAAAAATTGTCTACTGTTGGATTGCTGGAAAAAACTAATCAGAGAGCCTAGGAGCTTCCACGTGGCATAGAGCCGTTGGGGGTTGCTTTTTGGATTTTTTTATTCGCGAAAAAATGGCTGCTGTTGGATAAGTTTAAAAAGCAGATCGGATGGCCCAGCATGCGACACGTGGAATCATGCCGTTGGGTGGCTACTGTAGCGCGCGGCAAATTTTTTTTAAACCGGGCGCGTGTATTGCACGCGCCAGCTTTAAAAAAATTTAAACAGCAGCGCTGACATCATCGTGATGTCAGCGTGCTAACGTCATCCCAGCTCGCGGGCTGGAGCTCGAGCCAGCCTCCCCCTCGGGCTTGCCCAGGTTTGTGGGCCCCATTGTTTGCCCTGGCAGCTTCTTGTTGCTGGAAACTAGTTTTTGGGTTTGCCCCCCCCCCCCCACCCCCAATGTTCTAAGGGGTGTATCGAATTCAAATTTTTACAGTGGGTTAGGGTTTTTGGGATTTTGATAAAAGTCGGAATTTCTATATTGATATGAACCAATTTCTATGTTTGGATTAAAAAAAAAAAGAAATATAGAAATTTTGTAAGGGAAAAAACATGGAATTTGGAGGTCATAAATACCAACTTTAAATTATATATAAAAAGTTGTCATTTCTAAAATTCAAAAAGAGATTGAATTTTTTTTCTTTCATAAAGATACAAATAGAGGTTAAATTCCGTATTTAAATCCATTACTCAAACAAGAAACTTTACAAATTCTAGAACATTAATTTCCATAATTTCAAATTCCATTATTTATGAATTCATTTGTACTTTTAAATTTCTTCATCCAATTTTTTTTATTTTATATATAAAGTTTAAAAGTTTGGAGGCATTCAATTTAGATTTCTAAAGAGTTTATAAAAGCCTGGTGGAATTCAATTGTGACATTTAAAAGTAGTTAAAAATATTTAAAAGTTTAGTGGTATTCAGTTATGACTTTTAAAAAGTCTTTAAAAGTTTGGCAGTATCCAAAAAGTTAATGACTTTTAGAAAGCTTATTTTAAGGCTAATTGTTAAGAGCAAAAGTCTTGCCAATTTACTAGTGACTTTTATCAACTCTATGAAAGTATTTACGAATTTGTCAACTCTATGAAAGTCACTCACTTAAAAAAAAAGTCTTTATAAGTATGGATTAGATACACCCCCTTAATGACTTACATGATTTTATTTATGGATTTCTATGATTAAGATTTTTTACTTATGAATTTTAAAAGATTTATAGCTTTTTCTATTAACAATTAGCCTTAAAAGTATACAAAAGTCATTAACTTTTTGGATACCACCAAATTTTTAAAGACTTTTTAAAAATCACAACTGAATACCACCAATCTTTTAAATACATTTAAATAGTTTTTAAAAGTCACAATTAAATACCACATGGCTTTAATAAACTTTTTAAATTTCTAAATTGAATACCTCCGAATTTTTTAGGGCTTGTCCAATATAGATCCCTACATTTTCTATTTCCTAGACATATACCCATCACTCTATAAATCTATGTATAAAACCCAATTTCAAATTTAAATGACCAGTATGATATAAGAGGTCGTAGTATTTCTATGTTTTTACATCGTTGCCACTAAACTTCATATTTTATTTATAATTTATTTCAAGCATTTCATTAACTGCCATAATTGTAATTAATATACTCCCTATTAATAGCATATCAATCACCCCATTTCTTTTAGTTGTCATTCCCTCTCACATCTCGCCCCCTAAAATTGCAAACCAAAAAAAAAATCTGTAAATTACATATCCAATAATGTACCTATGAAAAATATAATATAAATATATACATATAAAATATAGGTATATTATTTACCCAAAAAAAAAAAGTCAGTTACTTTGTAATTGCGTATATTTTTCATAATTAAAAATAGGTACACAATAATTTATATAAAATATAGGTACATTATTTGAAGAGGAAAGATAGGTACATTATTAGAGGAAAAAAATTGGTAAGTTATTTGGAGAGAGAAAATAG